AAGCTACATCGATCGTCATATTCGTGTGATTCTCAACAATCAAGCTTGACTTTTGAATCTCTGCGTAAACACAATGCTCTTATCATCACAGGAGGAAACTCCGACAATATCTTCGTCGCTTCGAAGCTAATTTCATCTTACGCTTCTTACGGGAAACCCAATTTGTCTTCAAGAGTCTTCGATTTAGTTACTCGAAGAGATGTGTTTCTATGGAATTCTATCACCAAAGCTTATTTATTCAACGAAGATTATCGTCGAGGGTTGGATTTCTTCCTCTCAATGGTGTTGTCTGGTCAATCTCTTGATCATTTCACTGCTCCGATGGTTGTTTCTGCTTGTGCGGAGCTTTCTTGGTACTATGTTGGGAGATTCGTTCATGGGATGGTTTTGAAACTTGGAGTTTTTGATCGGAACTGTGGAGTAGGTGCTTCGTTTGTTTACTTTTATGCAAAGTGTGGGTTTTTAGAAGATGCGTGTAACGTGTTCGAGGAAATGTCTAAGAGAGATTTTGTTGCTTGGACTGCGATTATATCTGGTCATGTGCAGAACGGAGAGAGTGAGAGAGGTTTGGAGTATCTTTGTAAGATGCATTATGTTGGTTCTGATGGTGAAAAGCCGAATCTCAGAACAATGGAATGTGGATTTCAAGCTTGTGCTAATTTAGGCGCTTTGGACGAAGGAAGGTGTCTTCATGGATTTGTTGTAAAAAATGGTTTGGCTGAGTCAAACAATGTCAAGTCTTCAATTTTTTCGTTGTATTCGAAATTTGGGAATCTAGCTGAGGCTTATCTTTCTTTCCGTGAACTTGGTGATAAAGATATGTATTCGTGGACATCGATTATAGCTTCACTAGCGAAATCGGGGAACATGAAGGGAAGTTTTGATATGTTTTGGAAAATGCAGAGAAAGGGAATACAGCCAGATGGGGTTGTTCTTGGTTGTTTGATTAATGAGTTAGGTAAGGTGATGCTTATCGCTCAAGGTAAAGCCTTTCACGGGTTCATTTTAAGGCGTTGTTTTTCTTTAGACGGTACGGTTTGCAATTCGTTATTGTCAATGTACTGCAAATTCGAGCTTCTTTCTGTTGCTGAGAAGCTTTTTTGTAGGATATGTGAAGAAGGAAACAATGAAGCTTGGAATACAATGGTTAAAGGCTATGGTAAAATGAAATGTGATGTTAAGTGTATCGAGTTATTTAGAAAGATTCATAATCTTGGAATTGAAGTTGACTCTGCTAGCTTGGCCTCTGTCATATCTTCATGTTCCCACGTAGGAGCGGTGCTACTGGGGAAGTCGTTGCATTGCTATGTTGTCAAAACTAGCTTGGTTCTTACCACTTCAGTGGTCAATTCCCTCATTGATTTGTATGGAAAGATGGGAGATTTGACTGTTGCTTGGATGATGTTTTGTGAAGCAGAAAAGAACATCGTAACTTGGAACGCAATGATTGCGTCTTACCTTCATTGTGAGCAATCCAACAAAGCCATTGCGTTGTTCGATAGAATGATTTCTGAGAATGTCAAACCCAGCTCAATAACTTTGGTGACTGTGCTTACGGCTTGTGCCAATACTGGATCTCTGGAGAGAGGACAAATGATTCATCGGTACATCACTGAAACAGAGCAGGAGATGAATGTTTCTCTTACAACTGCTCTAATTGACATGTACGCGAAATGTGGACAACTTGAAAAGTCACGAGAACTGTTTGACGCTGCAAATCAAAAGGATACGGTTTGTTGGAATGTGATGATCTCAGGGTATGGAATGCATGGAAATGTTGAATCGGCCATAGAACTTTTCAATCAAATGGAAGTCTGATGTTAAACCAACCGGGCCTACATTTCTCGCACTTCTATCAGCTTGCACGCACGCTGGTTTAGTTGAACAAGGCAAAAACCTTTTCCTCAAGATGCATAAGCACGACGTGAAACCCAACTTAAAGCACTACTCTTGTCTCGTTGATCTTCTTTCCCGGTCTGGTCATTTACAGGAAGCAGAAACCACAGTAATGTCTATGCCATTCTCACCAGACGCGGTTATATGGGGGACTTTGTTGACCTCGTGCATGACTCATGAAGAGTTTGAGATGGGAATACGAATGGCTGAACGCGCAGTTGCTAGTGGTCCGCAGAACGATGGGTATTACATAATGCTCGCAAACATGTACAGTGCTGCGGGTAAGTGGGAACACGCGGAAAAGGCACGAAAGATGATGCGGGAAAGCGGAATTGAGAAGAGAGCTGGACATAGTGTAGTCATCTAAGTGGTAATCTTTTGATACAACAATGCAACAACATAGTTATAGACTTGTAGTCACATTTATAAATTTAAAACATACAATCAAAAGAGACTCTTTTCGAAGTTCATTGGAAAAACCAAAAGCTACAGAACATTTTCGAATGGATTGTTAAAAGTCCAGAGTTACATATATAACTTACAAAATCAAGAGTCCGAAAAAGATCCGATCAGTTTCCCCCTTGAACTCTTATTTCCGCGGGGGTTTTGTAACACATTGTGTATGTACATTTAAATCGACTTTCGAATTCAAGAACTTACTCGAAACTAATCGTCAATTTGCGGTTCCACCAAGAACTCTCTTGAGATCTGTCTTCTGTTCCGATGTTAGCCTCGAGGGGAAAGAGATCTCAAAGTTAATTTTGAGATCTCCTCTCTTAGAAACTTCTTTAGAGATAGGCATTCCTTCGTTAGGGATCACAATCTCCTGACCAGGTTTAACGATATCCAAAACCGGAATAGTCAAATTCCTCCCGTCTAGCGTTGTTAAGCTAATGGTAATCCCTGTTAAAGCATCCAAAAGCGAAACTTTCTTGTCTACAATCAGATCGTTTCCGTCTCTTTTGTAGACGGAATGCGGTTTCTCATCGATAACAAAGATGAGATCCGCAGGAGTGACTCCTGGTTCTTGGTTTCCTTTCTCCGGGAACGTTATCTTTGTTCCTTTCTTCCATCCTGGTGTTATGTCTATCTTCAATATCTCTTCCACTGGCTTTGGCTTTCTACAATCATACCATTTATTATTATTAGAGATTTACACAATCAATCGTATCATCAAGAAACTCATCTATTGCAAATTGACCAATGTAATTATTTTTGGATCAACATTTCTTCAACACAATTCACAATTTCATTATGATTAAGGACCAAATTGACTAACCCAAGACCATCAGGAACAACGCGAGAGATTCGCATCTTCCTCCTTCCACCTTTGTACAATTCCTCAAGAGTACAAGCCAATTTGCTTTCGATCGCCGGAGCTTTCCGATTCGCCGGAGTTTTCCTATTCGTCTGATTTCCGGAATCCGCGCTTCTGAATCTACTTCCTCCGTTTTCGAAATTTCTCCTCCCGCCGAACACTTCCCCCGATGCGCCGAAAAACTCAGCGAAAATATCTTCGGCGTCTCGTGGATAGTAACGGAATCCAGCGTTGTTGCCGAAGGAATAACTCCGTTGCTGAGCCGCCGTCTCTCCTGCCGTCGTGGATAGATCGGAAGATTTAAGACCATCTTCACCGTATTGATCGTAGATCTGACGGCGATGAGGATCGCTCAAGACGTCGTAAGCTTCGGAGATCTGTTTGAATTTAGCTTCTGCTTCCTTCTTGCTCGTCGTAGGGTTTTTGTCAGGATGCCATTTCATAGCTAATCTTCGGTACGATTTCTTCAGATCGTCCTCGCTTGCGCTTGGATTCACGTTCAGTACATTGTAGTAATCAACCCCCATTGATTTCGAATCTTTCACAACAAATCAATTTATTTATTTGACAAAGAGTATCAAAATTTGGATTTGAATTGAAGAAACTGCAGAGGATGGAGATGGATGATTTAGTGG